AACTCCTTACTTTCAATCGTCTGATTGTATTAAGAATTGAAGCCGACACATACAGCCTCGTTTTCAAACGCGAAAGTGCGCAGATCCACGCTAAAAGCGTCGTATTGGGATCCCTCTATATTTCTGACACGGGTCAGCAAACACTGCATACTTTTTCTACTGTGGTGCACAGTGCGGGCTGGCACACAGTTAGCCTTGAACTTCAAATGACAACAAAACCTTAGTGTGGTTGACTTCAAACTTCACATTTGTAATAATAAGTAGTGCGTGTACACGTCTATTGCGTTTCAAAGAAAAAAAAAAGGAAAAAAAAAACTTGAGTAGGACACAGCTGAGTTCTTAGGGGGCGGAATCAGCCCCAGTTGGCGGTGAGAGTGGCCAAAAACCCGGCTCGAGTTTTAGGGTAGTGAACCGTTTTCATTTGCCTGCTTTCCTACCACATCTGGTACATTTTACAGACACAATATTGTACAGAATATGCATGACATCATTATCATGGACTTTGCACATTCTTCTCAAAGATAAATATTATAATTATGGCAACCTGATTGATTTTCGTTGATGGAAACTGGAAAGCATCAGACGGTAAAATAATATGTGTTCAGAAAACCTTCTGTTAATAAGCATAACATTGACTGGATTCAACAATGTGTTTGCGTTTGTTGGGGCGCCTTTTGGTTATTAGGCTACTAGCCATAGTCAAATGGTTAGTAATAATTAATTAATTGGCAATAGTTTATTCGATGTGTCAAGAGACAATCTTCGGGGAGTCACAAACCTAGGCTGCATGCCAATCTCATACCAAACTCATCGATGTAAGGGATATAATCACCATGCCGTCCTTGGTTTACCCTGAGGGAATTGACCTGAATTCTAGACGATTCCTGGAGCTTTGGAACTTCGTGATGCCTTTAACAACCACACAATGTCTGTATGTACATGTACATGTACACTGAAAGCCTGCATCATGGTTTCGGATCACTGCTTGCCGTACTCGCTTTCGAAACTTCTGTAGGCACCGAATTATCAGCTTTGGGGCAAAGGTTTGGTCAGTTCTAGTCCAATCTAAATGTACATGGTTTGTGTAAACACTTCGAACCTGGCACACAATGGCAACGTAGGTTTATTGTTGTCATATCAAACACGAAACTCAGAGTCATTGGGAAAATAAGCTGATAACCAAACCCTAGGATGACTGACTTCACTTATCTTGCTGCGTTGTTAAGTTTTATATGCTGGTTTAGTGGGTTTTTAAGCATTTACAACGACTGCTGCTTGCATTTAGTTGCCTGTTCAAAGAACCAAAGTGGCATCCAATAATGGTAGTCAGAGATGTCTTGCTGTATAAAGCCATCTCTGATTCTTGTGCGCACAATTTATGCCACGTGTATTTGTTAAAATAGTGCTTTTTTAAATGGAAAAAAGTCAGACTACAACAATATGATTTTAAAGGCTCGAGTCTCTTTTCACTTTTCTCATTTTGACAAGGAAAACAATGTGACGGTTTGGTCGGAATCATTCAGAATTATTTATCGCAGCACGATGGCGCTTAGCTATGCTGTCTCTTGACTGCGTCCTACGATTCTACAAACATCAAGTATTTACAAATAGAAACTGGTTTCAGGGTTTGCCTCGTTTTCGGTACAGGATTGCTGACTCCCCAATAAAGTCAATGCAATACGGCCGATTCACAACAGTGCGCCTCCAAAGGTTTGAGACATGTTGGCCAATCACAACGAACAAAAACTATCGCCCATTTTCCAATGCCATGGGGTCGACAGATTTCGCCCATTGTGATAGGCCAACGAGTTGAAAACTCTTGGAGGCGCACTATTGTGAAATGCCAATATTGTCTCATTATGCATTTCAGAGCCTCGTCATTTTTAAAGCCCCAATACTGCTATTTTTCTAACTTTTCTTGTGAAAAATTACATAATTTCACATTTCTTTTTTTCTTGAGGGAAAAGAAGAAACCGAATCATTCCAGATCTCCAAATCTCAGCCTGAGGCCTGCTTAGCTTTAATGATGGGAAAACTGCTGCGTTCAAAGTGCTGTCCACTTTGAGACTTCGTTTTAGACGTTACACGTATCCATTACTGACTAATCAATAATCCAAAGAGACTATAAGTGTATATATGGATTAAGAGTCAATTATCCACCAATGAATTGATAACTTATCGTTAAATCCGGTTTGGAATGTTTCGTTCCCATGCTTTTAACATTTTCAAATACTAGTGCACTGTGAACAAAGAAGACAAACGAGTGGTGCATTTTAGCAGTAGACACAATGACAAATGTTCATGTGGAGAAAGTTAGTCAAATATTTATGCTTGAAAAACCCTGTAGTCCCTAAATAGGCTATTGGAGGTAAAATTAGAATAGAATTCAAAGAAGTCCAAAAATCGAAATTGTGTCATTATAAGGAGCAAAAGTCTTAAATCAGGCACAGTGCCACTCTACTCGACGGCGTACGTGTGGCTGAACGTTAACATGAACCAAATTAGAGAGGCATGGCCTTGACATTACAGAGCAACAATTTCGCTTGATGAAAAAACGCGCAAGGCACACAACTTATGAAGTCTACCCGTCACGGAAAGAAAAGTTGGCAAAATAAACCCAAACACACCCACAACCAAGTGGTTGGTCGAAGGAAATTTACATTTTTATTACAAGAGGTAAAGTGATCAGCAGTCTGAAGGGTGCAAAAAGACGAAATTAGGACAAAGAAGAAAAACAGAGTAAAAACGCAGCTCCAATGCAAGACCTTGTCGGTAGCACAGCAGTAAGCAAGTTTTCCGTATGCGTACACATATGAAAAGCACTGTAGACATAGCTACATGTACCAACCGCTGGGTTGCATATTGACCCCAAGCATGGGACTTGGCGGTAGGGTCACTTTATTCCATGAGGTTGGGACACAATTTGTGATGGTGTCCTTGTAACATGGGTAACTTTTACCATCTGTCGTGACCAGTAGAGTAGGTCATTTACTCTGTAAAAATAGCACACACCTCTGTATTCAGCCTTGCAAGATGTATAACTTAGAATCCACCTGCAGGGAAATAGCTGTTCATTTTTACGGAACCCACGTAACAATGGACACCGTCACAACTTGTGCCCCAAGCTCATGGAATAACCCAGTACTACTTTTCAGTAACCAGTATACAAAAAAAGCAGTGCGTCCTTGAATAACATCTAGCTGATTTATCAATAATTTCGCGCTCTTGTAACAAGTGACTAGCTAACAGGAGGGTTCTTTAGTGTTTGACTTGATTCATTCTGATTGCACCATAAAATAAGCGACATGTGCGAGGGTCATGACTTGATGTTACAAGCTGAAAATGCCGGGAACAAATCCAGGTCAAAGTATGTTACTATGACGGCTAGGTTATCTGCTGAACCATGGAGGAAGGAGGGGATGGCCTTCCTCCATGGCTGAACATTGCAATTGCAAAAAACAAAAACTGCTGTATAACGACTTTTTTGTGTCCGAAATACTCACAGGAGATTTGATCGAATGTTGTCTGCCACCACACCATTGATGAGCTTCCCACTCACGCTGGGGTCAGGTTCCCTGATCGCTTCCAGGTAACTCTCAGGAGCCGTGGGCGCGGTGGCTGTGGGCTTTCCACTGTCTGCGGCGGCTGGCGCTGTGACGAAATGACCAAGAAGAATACCAACGCCAATCCCCACCGCCAGGACCACTGCTGCAGAGATCCCAATCACCACTTTGGGGTTCATTTCGTTTGGTTGGTCGAATGGTTGAAAAGAAACTCTGATCTTGGAGTGAACACTTCACCACATAAATACCGCAAAACTCGGACTCCCAGAATGTGAGCAACAGCTGTCGAGAAACTTCAATGGCTCGCTGTTGTGATCTCAGAATATCATGCCATGCGGGTGACACATTGCACGAGTGCGCGGACCCATAAACTTACAGTGTCCCCAAAGTGCCACCACTTCTAAGTTGGAACACATCCTTGAAAACTCCCTCCTTAACGTGTCACTTTTTATTTTTCATTTTGTCAGTGATTTTAATGTTATCAGTAAGTTAGACTTAGATTGAGAATCCAATATGTAGACTAGCAACAATGTGAGAAAAGCGCCATAACCCCTGTTTCCGTGAAAGCATGATCCGTAGTATCCAAGTAATTTGGCAATAAGAAGCCTCCGTACGTAAATACGGAGTTCATCCTTTATATGAACCAGCAATGTTGACTCACTGCCAATGATACTGCAGGGAACTTTGCCATTACACACAACTTTGTTGTCACGCACGTCCGGCTTAGCTTGCGTCAGTTTGACCGTGAATGTGCGGCGTACGCAAAGCAAACATTGTGCACAAAGGCGGTAGATCTGGAGCAGATTCTCACAAATACTTCGAAAAAAGTCAAGAAGTTGAATGTTTGACAACGCGGCGCCGGTATTGCGCTTAGTAAAGCCACTAAGTAGAAGGGTAATATTCCACTGGTTTAGAAGAGGGTTGGAATTAATTCCAATTTCTCATCCCATTATAGTAACATAACCTTCATCTTGCTTTAATATTGTACCACTTGAATGTGACAACATTAGGCTAGGACATAATCTTTGGAAAATATTTTTGAAATTATATCTGCTATGTACCAGCAAGGAACCGTGTGGTTTCTGCCATGAAAATAACAGTCACAAGAGGGGATCAAGGTTTCGACAGGTCGTTAATAGTTCAGTGGTCTTTGGTAAGGTAAATATCTGAGAAAATATCCTAAAGTCTAGGTGCTCTGTACTGAGAAAAGTAGGTCGCCCTTTCACGTTATTATAGTAGATTTGACTTTATAACACGGGCGTTTCACAACAGCACACCTCCAAGAGTTTGCAACGCGTTAGCCAATCACAATGCGCGAGATCTGTCCACCCAGTGCGCGTTTGTAAAGGTTAACGAAAGTCTAGGAAACGCAAACGTTGCAGTCGCGTCACTACCAACAAAATGAATACTCCAATCCCGACCAACGCGGCTATGTTCAACCAATGATAGGGTGCTTCTGCTCTGGGTGGATAGTGCGAAACACGCTCAGAGCTCAGAATGGGTCACGTGGTACAATTAGCTGCAGTACAGCCAAGTTGAAACCTCCAAAAAGAAATTTCATTTCTGATGTCATCAGGTCCCTGGCTGAAGCCTTGAATAATGCCGCTTGTGTACGGTAACCGCTTGCTGATCGCGTTGTTTGTGACCTTTCATTTATACTGACTCTCCACAATAACAATTCCGTTTAACTTATGTACTATTTTATTTTATCATTTGAAAGCAATGGATGGTTGATCAGCAAACATGCTATTGACAAATCTTGCAAAGAGAATTAGAAGCCATTACTACGGGGCTGTCCAGTTCGCATGCAGGTGGTACGCGCGCGTTACATTCCTTTCTAACCAATACGGTGTCGTGGTTTGCCAAATGCGCGTTCACGCTCGAGTTAGATACGTGCTAGAGTATGAGATGGCCCCGCAAGAATGGCAACTCCTCGGATTTGTTTGTAAGGCAAGGAGTAGACATCCTGTTTCAACACACCTGAACGAACGAAGAAACTGTTATGTTAAATATTAAAATAACATCCAGACTTGTGTACTGAGGGACAGTCAAAGTTATTCTTCACATGATCAATTTATTTAAAAAGTACTTTACAAATCCCAATACGATTTTAATAGGGTCCTAGAATTAAAAGAACCTCACACCATTTTAATTGGCCTACTCTAACAAGTAGTTCTTACAATAATTTATTAAACCATTATGATAGAGGTTTATCATTCTGTAAAGATTTTTTATTGCTATAGTCCACAGTAAATACTTTGCCTTGTACTTGTGTTATTATCGGGCATCTGCATCTTACTCATGTAGGGCAACTTCTTTATCACTTTTTAAATATGTTTCATCCAACCGTTCGCCGAAATAACACAGACCATTTCCCACCTTGTGGTAGAGTACGAAAACGATAAGTATTATAACAACTTCAAGTTTGTAAATTATAACAAAATCACATAAAGTACATTGCCCAGTTGAAGTTTACACTTCTTCATGAATTAAGTTATGCCGTACCGCTTTAATCGTTCGCAGTCAATACTATTTTTACATAGCACCTTTATCAAAATTGGAATTTGTGTAGCTTCCTAAGCCACTTCCATCAGAGCGGTGACTGCCGACTGAATAGTAAAACAGCGATAGCAAGCTGATTCTTGACAATGTTCCATTTTTTCTGGGTCCTGGTTGTTATCGATGTCAAACATGGCATCCACAAGTCGCACAAGTATCCCACAACAAGATTTAAAACTCTTTGTGCAAAAAATATTTTAGTTTAAACTGAAAACCCTCTTTTTCACATTGCGGTTTCTTACATACCTTAATGATATTGTCTCTATAATCAGAGATAAGTTATATCAGTATTCTGTTATAATAATGTATTTATTACAAATGTAACTTAAATGTCTCCAACGTTCTTGATAAATGATATTAATTTTAAATTGAATGGAAAAACGTTTCAAAATACTGTGCCAAATATGAATGTTGTGACCGTTGGTAGTTGTTGTATGATATAGTGTACTTGACGTCATTACTATGATGTCAGTATAATGTTGTATACGAATGACGTGATAGCGTTTCTTTGACCTCAATTTACATAAGTTATTGACCTCAGGTTGGCGTGGTTATCAGGCGCTGATGCAATTCTGTTATCATTAAAAAATATAAGATATGCAACTACAAAACCACGCACTCATAGAAGAGATTCTTCCTTGTACATGGTGCAACCGCGCGAGCCTAACCTAATTTAGTACGCCTACCTTGCATGGCTTCAAGTCTTATCTACATGCGGCCGTCGGGTGTGCAGCAAGCGTGAGACTACGACGTGTTACATCTAATTAACTATATGTGTTTCAGTTCCAGAATTAAAGTTACTGAGATGCTGCTAACGAACTTGTTACATTCACAGTGCAAGAACAATTTGCTTCTCGTTTAGAAATACAAGGCACAAAGCTTAATAACCTTAAGGTTAGAACTATCGGGATATTGCGACTACCCAAGGCTTATTGTGGGGTGCTATCGGGATATTGCGACTACCCAAGGCTTATTGTGGGGTGTTGAATATTAAGCCCATAAATGTCATTTTTTTTCCCTAAAAGCATTGCTCAAACCATTTACAAAAAGTTATATGAAATGAAAATATTAGTCCTATGTCTTTTACGTTTTAAAACGTTTGCTGCTGGAACAAACGTTTTTAGGGCAATGTTCTCCTGATATTGTCATAACATTTAACTATCATGACAGTAAGTGATTATAAAAACGTCACATTAACATTTTGTTAAATTTTTTTGTTAACATCTAGGCCCTACATAATATCCCCAAGAGCATGTCGCGTTAACATTATCAAACAACATTAACATGACATTCGACATATTATTTTGATGATGTATTATGAACATGAATGATTTCTGGGTCATTAGTTAACAGTAGGATTTTATTGACGTGCATGTGGAAGTTGTCGTTATACAGTACATTGCTTGTTGGTCACGCACATAATCCGGTTTAATTTACATTATCATCAGCTAGCCTGTAGGTACGATTTTCCAAAATACAGGCTCCACTGCACAGGCAACTCCGAGACGGATTCAAAACAAATACCATAGACCTACACAACAAATAAAGTCAACTAAAAAAGGAACTTCATTTTTTTTCGGGCAGCTTAAAGCTTTTCACTTTATAAAGCCGTTTTCATTTGCAGCTCAACGGATACTGCCAAAATTACACTGATTCAATAGGAGCGCAAATAATTTCCAATTCGCGTCCAATCGAGCTCTTGCTAGTCGGTCTTAATTAAAGAGGGCGCTGTGATGAGCTTCCTTAATTCTCTGGGCAGTGTTTGTTCATTGTTTGGTTCACGCCATGTATGTTCCTAGGCCGCTTCCCAAACTCGACTTGGGCTCCGTTCAGGCTTCAACTTTTTTACTTCCTGACTTTAAGGTTACAAGCGCAATAGCAAGTTTGATAGTGAAACAAAACATCAAGATGCAAAAGAGCCAAATATACAGTACTTCAATTTAAGTTAAACGCTTCAGGCCCATAATCGAATCCTCAGACGGAGACGAAGTTGGGTATTAGAAAACGGCGTCAAGATCGAGTAATAAACGAAAGAGCCTTAAGGTCGCTCGAATAACAAAGGATGTTTGATCAGTTTTTTTTCCCACAAGCCTTCGGGGGCACACTCTGAGCATGCAATGTGATATACACGTCGGGCAGGGCCAAATCCTAAATCAATTTACATCTCCCCGGCGCAAACCATCTTAATAATAAAGGTGCGCATATGATCACGACTTCAGTTTGAGCATGCGCTGTTTGGGAATTTACCAAACTGGCCCAATGTCTGAATGTCCGAAATACAATAGACAGGTAAGAAGCCATCGACGTATAACTGCAGTCTGTGTCCTTGTCATACTATGGTCATACGTACACATGTACAAGTGTCAAACTTGAACTTCTGGTAAACAAATCGCAATTTTCATTTCGAAGTCACGCTGGTGGAATAGTTTCGGTAAGTCAAATCAAATGCATTCGTAGAGTAGCACCCGGAGCAAAAGGTTAGCCTATCACTGACTTAGCTAACACTTCTAATGCCTGACGTAGGCCTACAATTTACGTAGATCATGCAACAAGCTTCATGATTGACAATGACAACCGAGGTGAGGATGAGACATGACCAGACCTGATGACATGGTATCGGTGTAGCTACACTAGTGGGGCTAGTGTCGGTGGTGACATGACAATGGCACAGCATGGACACAGTGACAGGTGACAGGTACATGTGTACTGGTGGGGTAGGCCTGGGCCTGTCCTGCAACAATTATTAGGCCTACTCCAAGAAAAAAAAGAGGGAGTCCAATTCACGTCAGCTCTATGATCTAGGCCTAACTCTATCAGCAAATTTCCTTGGCATGCCCGGTTTCAAGGAAACGGGTCAAGTCGTCCCCCGAAATTGAAACCCTGGTCAAGTCGTCCCAGGTCTAATGGTTCCCAAGTCAAATTGTCCCCGGGTCAAGTCGTCCCCCATTAGTTCTTACAAGTGTTGTCTGTGCATGTCATTTTCTTTGTAGGTGCATCAACCACATAGAAGAGAAAGAAAAACAAGACAGATACGCGTAGTACACGTATCCATAATTTTCATTTGGTCTACGCAGCTACAGTAGCTGGCGACTTTTGGAATCTACGTATTGACCAAGACGTGCCACATATATTAATTAAAAGGGCGATTCCTGGTGTGTGACAATGTAACAGCACATAGGCCTATCCTTTGAATATCAAAGTAAAATATCTAATCTTCCAGTAGTCAGTACCAGTTTACTTGAATAACTTTCTGAAATCAGTAATGCAGAAATGAAGTTTAGTTATTTTAAATGACTAATTATATTAATTATTTTGAATTAAGAGTATACAGTGAACGTAATAGGATTGTACAATCCTTGTAGGATTGTATTAAAGTTGTATTTTGTAATAAAGATCTTGTAAACTGAAGTTACTTGTAATTGTTGCTTATTATCGATAGATCAGTTAGGGTATAATTGGGTTCCACATCAGTTGTGTGTGTGAGTACTCCAATTCAGCCACAGCCTTTGTCCGAGTGGCAAGCCTCAATGCTCAATTATCCCCCCAAATAAATTGCCACTGTAAAATTGTAAGTATAATCTAATTATCTGTATGGGGGACGACTTGACTCAGGAACGAGTTGACCCGGGGACGACTTGACCCAGGGACGACATGACTCGGGTATACCTGACTTGACCAACATTCGGTTTCAACAGCAGTGAAGAGGGCTGGAGTTGTACATACAACACTTGATGATGCCACCGTGCACAAACCTATGTGACTTGTCCGAGAAAACTTAAGTATTTTCTAACTTAAGCAAATGCTTCAGAAATTTCTCAGCTAAATTTCACATTCTATGTGAGACAGATTGTAAAAGAGAGCCACTACAGCCCTACGTGTGGGGCTAGTGTACACATGCACGCAAATTACTGCACATTTACAAAGACACCTGTTCAGACACGGTGCAGGGTTCCTGGATTAGTTTGCGCTGGTTTTTAAACACGACACTGTCGATTTTATTTCAGCTCCTGCATAAAGTGAATATAGCCCTCTCAGTTCCAGACACTAGCAATGGAGGAGGAACAGACAAGCCAAGCTGTCGAGGAAGGGGATAAACATGGACAGGAAGCTGATTCTGAAAGGCAAATAGCGCCCTCGGCCTCACCGGATATCAAGCTCAAGAAGAAAATCGGTCCCTTGGTGGGCGTGGCCATCGTGGTGGGAGTGATGATGGGTAGTGGGATATTCATATCGCCATCCTTTGTGCTGGCGAGCAGCGGTTCGGTCGGTGTGGCGTTACTTGTTTGGACTCTGACTGGTTTGTTATCCATCATTGGTTCCCTTTGCTACATGGAGTTGGGAACCATGATTCTTATGTCAGGTGGGGACTATGCGTACATCCACTTTGCATTTGGGCCTCTACCAGCATTCCTATATGTCTGGGTGACCACGGTCATTGGTGCCCCGACCATGCTTGCCATCATGACGTCTGCATTCTCCAACTACGTCTTGTATCCGTTCTTCCAGGGAGGACAGGCCTGCTCGCCTCCCCCGTCCAGCTTGTATTTGCTGGGAGCTGTTTGCCTGCGTGAGTCTTTCAAAAATTCAAAACCCTCCTCAGTGAATAAGCCTTTTGCAAGTTAACTTTGAATAAAATCTGGTACACTGGGTTACTGTGTTGCACATAAACACAACAGTTTGAATTCCCCAGACTAAAGACACTGTTGCTATGCCTTGTGATTCGGGGCAAGCTTTTGCACAGCGACCACCATCTCTGGAATGGACTGGTTCCTTTGTGCCCTTCTTATCCATTGAGAACAGTGTATTGTTGCAAGGCATCTCTTATGTAACTAATTAAAAGCTTGCTTCGAATCACGAGGAAAAGCAACAGTGTCTTGTACGAAGAATTCAAATTATTACGTGAATTAAAGAACTCGGTGTACCAGATTTTACTCAGATTTATCTCGCCAAAGGCTTTTTAGCTTTAGTTGAACTTGCAATGGGTTTTTGGACAAACTTTACGAATGGACTTTTCACCTGTAAGTTGTTGGGATAAGACTTAGCCCCATGGGTGTCATGGTAAGTGGCAAGGGGGACACTTGCCCATCTCCCCTTCTCCCCTCCCCCCTGGGAAAAAAAATGGAAAATAAGAAAGGGGGAAAATGGAACAAAAAGAAATAAAAGGAGATGAAAAACCTCAAATTGCTGCCACTGTGAACGGTTCATCTGTTCACTACTGATTAGTACCCCCCTCCACCGCCAGAAATTCCTCCCCACCTCAGGAAAAAATTTCCGTGAGCCCATGGTGAGCCCAGACAAGCTACATGTAGGCTCATTTTTCTGCTCTGTTTTTTTTGGTCAGTGTTGGTGATGTTTCTGAATATCTACAGTGTCAAGTGGGTGGCTCGTGCCCAGGGGGTCTGCACAGCACTCGTCATTCTGGCATTGCTGGTTATCATTATATCAGGAATGGTGAAACTAGCGCAAGGTAAAAGGTTGAAATTGCCTTGTATATAAACATAGCGGGTACTTTGTGTTTACAAGTCAAGTATGGAAGCAAGGCCAGATAAAATTGAAAACATTCTCATCTTGATTGTGTTATTAACACAGAAAGGAGGGGGTATTTCTGAATGTGGCGGATATTGCCAAGATGATCATGGGCATTGCTAGACCATCTTGAATGGGGAGGGGTTGCCACATGAAATTTGGCGATGGATCATCGCGCAAAATGAGCGTACTGTATCCCCCTTCCTTTCATCTTCATTCTCTGTTTTTCTTTTTTTTATTTTGCCGACAGACCATGCTAACAAAACTAACCAATGCCTGTAAAGATGATGATGTCTAGTGCAATTCATGATGCCTTTTTTCTTGCTAATGGGTTTTGAAAGAAAAAAACTAAATGGATGCAACAGAAGAGACACTGATTTATTTTCACTTGGCCAACTTGAAAAATAAACTCAAATTTAATGCCCTCAAAATAGTGTCTGCCAGGATTGAAACGTAATGCCCTCTCACTTTTTCAATTTTGAAGGTAATACGGCAGCTTTTGTCAATGGTTTTGAGACCATTCATGGACTTTCCACAGCTCCTGGATCGGTTGCAATTGCCTTCTATGCAGCATTCTTTGCTTATGGTGGATGGTAGGTCGTACTCCATCATTTCTGGTTTCAGAATTTCAGCTTTTACATGTTCATGTAGGCTGTGTTTTGATTTTAATGTTTGTTTTGCCTTGCTGCAAACACGTAACTTGTATTGCTTAGCCTTGCTTGTTAACACAAACAGGGTTAAATCCTACGATTTTAATAGTTATGATGGTTTTCCATGCACCCATGGGATCAAGTTAGGGTTAATTATGTGGAGTTTACTATACAAGTAAAAAGAGTGTCTCATACTGTGACCTGTACACCTGTCCCTGAGACAAGACAAAGGGACTGAGTGGTTTTGTATACAACAGAAATATAGGCGGAATAGCACCAAGGGGAACAAGTGTCACAAATTTGGCTGGGAGTGGGCTGGCAGATATTTCAATCCTAGATGAAACCCAGGTGCAGTACAGGCATTTTGCAATTGTTCTGTGACCTCTGTGCAGTGGGTCAAGGATGTCTACATACCATGTAGCCCTTTGTGGCGATACACAGACGCTGTGGTTGAAAGAACAAAATCTATTCAACTCTAGCATGGGCATGTAGTGAGGTCAGAGTTTACCGCTTCATTGATCAATGCTTTTGTTATATTGGAGGTAGAATCCTTGGCGAATAATTTCCATAAATGCTGGAAGGGAACACATTTGTGACCTACATGTACATGTACTGTAAAAATAAGTCACAAGTCGCCAGAGCCACTTTGGAGTTAAAAGTCCTTTAGAATAACTTTCCACAGTGGAAATCAATAGAAACCCACAACATTTGTCACCATGGAGTATCCACTTTCATCAAGATGCCAAACTGAGTGATACATCAAAATAAAAAACTCATTTTGCTCTTTCCAATACAAATGAAAACTCAAAGAGTGGCTCTGGTGACTTATGACTCCTTTTCACAGAGCAGGTCACATTTTTGCATGCTACACGTAAGTGCATCATTACAGGGATATCAGGTCGATGCATACATGTAAGAGAGCTCAGTTTAAAGATATCTCTTTTTTTGTTCATTTCAGGAATATCCTGAATTTTCTTATTGAAGAGCTCACCAATCCAGTGAGGTTAGTTTCCTTCGTCACATAGGCTGCTTTCCTCCAAGATTTTTTCCAGATGTGGCCTTTGTGAAATGCTTTTACTTCAATCTTGCCCTGTGGTGACAGGAAATGATGAAGTCATTGTACTCAAACTTTAGAATGAGTCATAACGTTAAAGGGGAAGTCTGAACTTCTTTTTTCATCTGAATATACGTTTTCTTCTTACATGTACATGTGGTTTCTAGCGCTGTAATGTGTGTTTCATCGCTGGATACTTTTTAACATTCTAACACTGCATTTTGAATATTTCAAATTGTATTTCATTTATTTCTTTGAATTGTTTCTGTGTGAAGTGGGATCTGTTCGAGAGATCAGTGACTTTTTCTCACTGAATGGAACATTCAGGATAAGCAATAAATCAATGAATTTGTCTTTTTTGTTGTTTTTTGGCCCCAGAGACCTACCCATTGTACTGATGGTGTCCCTACCACTGGTTACCATTATTAACGTCCTGGTCAATATTGCTTACCTTGCTGTGCTGAAACCCCAAGAAATGTTGGAATCAAAAGCCGTGGCATTTGTAAGTACCACCCTCATTCATTAATTTTTATAATTAATCATTTCTGGTGATGATACCAAGGATTCCCCCAAATTGACTTAGGCAATGTAGCTCACAAGCCTGAAGAAACTTGAAGAGAGCAGACAATGAGAAGAAGTCACAGTGGAGCAGTTAACCATAAACCTCCTCCGCACTTAACGATTCTGTGCTAGGTTTGCTGGAACTTCTGGCCCAAACATCATAGCTGGTTCTCCCTGGGCATCTTGAGAGTTGTTTGCCTTGGTTGGGAACATGAAGGGCTTATGTTTTTGATGGTTCCCCATCACACAGGCAAAGGATGTAACCAATAATTTTCAGCTGCCGAGATCTCACATGCTGCATTAGTAGTTGTTCTGGCACACACAATGGTGTTCAGGATGCAGTCATTTCACCTGATGAACCCTTGACCTTCCTAAGTCCAGGCTGTCTAGCAGTTGGCAGTTTTCTGTCAGCTTTTTTTGGATTGTAACGGTAAGAAGGGGAGGGGGGAGTAGGGTCAGTTACTCCTATTCATCGGGTTGGTGGTCAACAGTGTTCCAGCGGTAGCTTAATTGTTTGGACCTTAGGTGAACCACACGACTCCAACTTACCTCTCTCTACTGAGGATTACATGTGTACAAAACATTGCATAGGTTTATGGGTCATTCCATGAGGTTGGGGCACAATTTGTGATGGTGTCAATTGTTACATGGGTTCCGTAAAAATAAACAGTTTTGTCCCTGCATGTGGATTCCAAATTGGCATTGTTATACATCTTGCAAGGCTGAATACAGAGGTGCGTGTTATTTTTACAGAGTAAATGACCTACTCTACAGGTCATGACAGGTGGTACAAGTTTTGGATGTAACAAGGACACCGTCACAAATTGTGCCCCAACCTCATGGATGACTCATATCCCTCTTGGAACAGGGCTAATAATGATTTGTTGGAAACCTTCTCACCAACCAAGGGTGAATTTTTATGCCAACTTTTCTGCCAGTCAAATCTGGCTTAACAGAATTTCAAGCCATTGCTGCAGGGCCATCCTGTTTGTGCACAGGTGGTGGCACGTCACATTCCTCTCTGACCAGTGAGATGTCAGGACTTGCCAAAGTGCAAGCTCACGTTCAAGTGAAGACCTGTCTGAGTGTGAGGACCTGTCTGAGTGTGAGGACCCTGCAGGAACGGCGTCTCCTGACTCTCCGGGGATTTGTCTATACAAACTGTCCACAGGAAGAGAAAGATCAACCAAGGTCTTCAGTCTGGGGCCACAGGATTAAACATGCGTGTCTTTTTCCCTTCGTCAGACCTTTGGAAATAAAGTCTTAGGAGATGCTGCCTGGATCATGCCCATAGCCGTAGCCATATCCATGGTGGGTGCCGTCAATGCAGGACTCTTGAAAGGCTCGAGGTCAGTTGGCTGGGAAGAATGTAAAAGAATCAGTTTTATTCACTTTGAAGACCATTGACTAAATTACCACCGTCTGTGTGCTAAGCAACAATGTTTGAATTACTGTTCATGCAGTTGGCACTGTGCACAATAATCTTCTTATCGTACATTCTGCTTCAATATCCAAAGTACCAAGAAAATTCAAAGATATTGCAAGAAAATTGTGTAATAGCAGCAGTAATTCAGTGGGGAAGAACTGGGCACTTCACTTAACCTCCTAATCCAACAGGTGTATTTAATCAATTAAAATTTGTTAAGTTTGGCATTGTTGGGTTTGGAATGCTTTGCATACAAGCCCCATGGTGCTTCTACATGCACAAAGATAGAATTACAAGATTTTGTTTGACATTTGTAGAAATGTTAGTACTTCAGTTTTGTCTTTAAGAAACTTGATATCCAAATATCAATTCTGCCCTAATTTTGGTTACTGTAGGACCTGTATGGTTGGTGCTCGCAAAGGACAATTTCCAAGCATTCTTGGAATGATACAAGTACAGAGAAAGACACCTGCACCGGCATTACTATTTGTTGTAAGTATAATGGTCATTTTTATGACCCGTTTCTGTGGATTCAGGACAAAGTAGTGCAGAACAGAAATGTTTAGAGATAAACTTGAAATACATTAAGCAATGGTTGGGTCAAAACCCTGCTCATAGGATTTTAAAGAGGGGTAAATGATGGAAGTGTTATTAGAAAGCTGAATAAACGGGAGAAATTGAAAACACAAAAAATTCAATGTTTTGTTGGAGTCACATTGTCCAGGTTTCATGGCCTTCATGCCTTGAGTAGAAGCACCCCCTCATCGGTTGAAAAGAGCTATGTTGGTTGAGTTTGTTCAAATTGTTGGCAATGTGACTGTGACACATTCACTTCATAGTCGTTCATGGACCAGCTAGGTTCAGTTCCGACCAAATGAGCCTCCATGGCCAGGAAAAAGCGCCCTCTCTTGGTCCATCCCAAAAAGTCATCTGAGGAGAAGCTATCATTGTGACATTACAGTCACATTCATATTGCATGGGTAATGGTCCAAAGTTTTTGCCACTGCAATGGCTTCTAATTCTGCTGAACAGATTTGTCATGAGCAAGTGAAACTTGATTTTCCTGATAAGCCACTCACAATGTGGCTGTGTGGGAGGATTACCTCGACAGGATGACGCATTTTTTCCTCATTTCTTCTCCTCAGTCTTCCTTTGGTCTGATCTTCCTCACCTCCAACGACATTGGCAGGTTGATCAACTGCTTCTCCTTGGTCACGTGGGCCACAATCTTAGCCTCCATCTCAGGTCTGCTGTACCTCCGCTGGAGGAGACCAGAGTTAAAGAGGCCCTTCAAGGTGGGTAGGAATGTCTGTCATCAACTGCTTCAATGAAAGTGCCGCACCAGTGGCATTTTGATGCCAAAGTTTTTGTAGCGAACCTGTATGCCCTGTAGCATGGGTAAGTTTCCCCTGAGGTACCTTTCATTGCAAATGATGTGACAGGTTCATTCTCTTCCATTCAGGTGAATCTAGTACTGCCTATTATTTTTGTCCTCGTCTGCACCTGTCTGATTGTTTTGGGGTTCATCAGCGCCCCCTGGGATTCCCTGATTGGTGTCGGCATGACCCTCACTGCCCTGCCTGTTTATGCCCTCTGTATCTATCCAGCCAACAAACCCAGCTGGTTGAGAAAGATCTCTTGTAAGTGTCCTTTTGTTTTCACATAAGCATGACAGACCAGTGTTTCTTATCAGATATTTCATAAATCTGAAAAATGTGTACATCATTTTAGGAATAAATTAATTGCAGCGTATGCCTGGCTTTGAATCTTTTTGCAGATGCTGTGACAGTTTTTCTTCAAAAGGCACTGTTCGTTGGGCAGGAAGACACTTCATGAGACCAGAAAGACGTGGAAATGTTTGAAGAGGCTGTATAAAGGAAGTAACATTTCCTTTTTGTAAAAAAGGCAATAAATCTAGCAAGAGTGTGCTGTGGTAATCTGTAATTTGACACATGCATGCTTGCCCTCCCCTCGTAGCAAAGGATTTCTCATTCGTCTGATGCAATGTTTCATTACCTGCCTTACAAACACTTTATCTTGATCAGAAGAGCAGACCTTTGTGGTAAGTAGAGGTGTAATATTAAGTTCTATTCTCTGCCTTGAGCAGAAGCACCCCCTCATTGGTTGAAAGGAGCCATGCTGGTTGGAAGCGTTCATTTTGTTGGTAGTAAAGTGAAGTTTCTAGCAAAGGACTCTCCCTTGCTGGGAAATCACGCCCTCTCTTGGTCCAGCTGGGGGGGTCATAGTATGCCTAATTCTTTGTATGTCCACAAGCATGCCAAGCATAGCTCTAGATGTCTTTCATATTGAGTGTAATGTTTATCCATTCAGCCACCTTCACTGTTTTATGTTGTTTGTTTTTTCAGCCGATGTGATCTTGTCACAACTCGAAAGGAAGACATTTTGAAACTGGCCCTCTAAAGTTTAAATCTCTAGCATATAATTTGTTTATTGGTTAGACCTAGAATGTAGATTTAGAACGGCTACTAGCAATAAATACGGGAAATAATAAGAGTTTTAATTGGTTCTTAAAGTTGAAATGTTGATTTTTTAGGGGTTATTTAAAATTATGTATTTCATGTACACGTGATGCTTAGGCCATTGTTTGTATTTTCAAATTGTGTGAATTATATGTTCTTTATCAGTGTTCATTGTTTATTTGATTTACGGAACAAATTTTGTACTTTTTAGTCAACTCAACGTGCTTTAGTATTTGAAATCAAAATCTTATATTTTTTCAGCCATTTCCTGTCTGATTTTAGGAGCTTTATATAATTATTTTACAATAATGTCTCTCTTTATGTGTTCATTTTTTTGGCCCTCCTGCCGCGAGACTGCGATACGAACCCTTTCATTGGCTTCTTTACCTCAATTTAAAAACGCGCAAAAACAAAATGCAAAACTATGAAGACTTCAAATATGTAATGAAAATACAATGTGTAAAAAATTATTTATTAATTTTGTTAAAAGTACCATGGTTACAGTTTAAAATGACGTTACAGTCGTATTACAGTGTAGCATCAAACGGCACTATAGAGGTTTTTCACATGATGTAACATGATGGGCGTACCATACCTGTGGAGGTGCGTGCATTTTTGAATCAGGATATCCCGTTCGAAAGTGACTTTGTCATACACGTGGACACGCCATAAGTTGCAGGCTCCCGTTGGTCGGTCATTGAAGTAGCATATTAACTTCCGGCCCTGTGGTTCCATTTAAACAGCGATCACTGAATGTAACTCATGCAGTGCATGTGTCGTGGGCGTTGTGTAAACTGATGTGACGTCGCACGTACAAACCAGACAGGGCTCTCTCAAATGACATCATCGGCATGTTTTACTTCAAGTTTCTTGATGCGCATTGGCTGCGCTGTATTTCGATCAAATTTCGATCAGCACGGGAGCAAGTTTTGAATAGTTTGCACATGGCGAGCATACGCACCTGTTTGCATTATAGACGCAGGTGGAATTTCCTTACAAAGATTAGAGAGATCTATTTCTGCTGGCAGTCTCGTGTACGCCAGAATGTTGAGACTTGAAAGGCCCGCGTAACTTGAATGCTGACCATCAAAAACCTCTACATGCAGGCCTACTGTATTCATAGAATGATCAGTACTATTATTTTGGTGCCCTAAATTAATGTTACTAATTTTAAATTCCAGAATAACATTGAAGACGTGGAATGTTAAAGACGGGAACAGATGTAGTTGGTATATAACACAAGCGCGGATCCGGGGGGGGGTTGAGTCGAAAAACCCTACTCTGAGAAAAAAACCGTGAAAAATAATTTTCAAAATAAGTGAAGTACACCAATTCCACTGTAAACAATCTTGTGTATAATGTATCATTGTCCTTGCAGCCTGTCTGCATGAGTGACACAGAAAGAAATCCCGGCCTCAACCCCCCCCCGAAAATTTTCTGGATCCGCCCGTTACACTTTGTGCAGTAGTGTGTATGGCCGAACTCTAGCTGCATTTGAATCAGCTTGTATACAATGCATGTTTATGGTTGTCATTTCATATTATGAAATAGCAGAATATAAAGCCGTCTGAAATCGATTTGATGCATGTACAAGAAATCTTCAAGATGAAATATTCTGTCGAAAATCATATTATTCATATCCAAGTATTGTGTAATGTATACTTGTCTGAAATATGTGCGCTTAATTCTTTTCTTGTCAATGAAATTGAGAGGTAATGCTCCATCGACCACAGTGTTCATTACGGAAATCCTAACTCGCAAATTGGGAGTTAGTAAAATAAAGCAACCAGAAGCTAATATTGCGAAATAACACCCCGTGCTTGTCGTTGCTCATAATTACTACCCAACACAACTGACTCGGTTCTCATGTGGTAGGTTGCTATCAAATAAACGTGAAACATACAAGCATTTGTTATGATTGTGCCGACTTGCGTTGCAGAAGAAACAAAAATTCCTCAAGTTATCTGGAGTCCAAGCCGTCCAGGGACCTGGAGCGTGATCGGACTCCCCTGACCACACAAAGACAAAAGCACACCCCAGGATCAAAGACAAAAACAAAACCATGGAATAGCCAGCTCATCAGAAAAATGAAATAATATGTTCATGCAGAGTTTATTGCACACACAGATGTACCAAGTTTCATGAATGAAACTATTTCAAACTTGGGATTTGATAAACAGGATAAAGAGAACACTAGTCTTGAAGGAATGCAATGTGTATTTGCATGTACAGCTTCAGGAACCAAACATCATGTCAAACGGGACCTTCATGCAATGGATCCCTTTTAGGTTTTGCGTGCAGCCTAACGAGAAGCATATTAAATATTAAAACTGATGTAAGCAGCCGCAGATTCGGGGGGGGGCCTGTAATGACACCAAAAATGGGGAAAATACAAATAACAATAAAAACTAAAGTGCACCAGCAGTACCATTCTAAACAATGTATGGCAGGTAATGTTTTATCATCATTTCCACTTGTCTACAAAAATGAGACATTAAACGTCTTTGGCTTGACCCCCCCCCCCAAAAAAAACAATTCCTGGATCCGCCCCTGTGTAAGATCGAGAGCCAGTATTGCAACAAAACGGCTTTTAAAAAGAAAGTACAAAGTCTACTGCAGCTCCAAAAAGTAATGACATAATATGTGAGAAACGTGATCAATATTATGGTAGCACCAAAACTGCTAAAGTTGGAATTCCAACTGACATTTAAAATTTGTACGTGTTCCCTGTCATGTTTTGTTTTTTCAACAAAAGACTTGACTTATTAATCTTGTTTGTGGGCATAATCATCTGGTCAGAATTGACTTCATCTCCGCACATGTATCAACAGACACACCCTTTGGAATTTTACAAGGCAAGCAACACTTTTAGCACTGCATGCAGTTAATTACATTTAAAATAAAAGTGTTCACGGCAATGAAAATATTAAAAACAATACAAAATATTTGCAACATTTAAGTTTGTTCTGGGAAGACGCGCATGCAGAAAATAATGATCTTGAACGCTAAAAGTACTGTCAGTGACCGAGTGTTACTTACAAGGAGGCTAGAAATCATAATTATAGAATCACAAGTCGAGCAAAAAGCCTCTTAAAATATTAAGGATATATGGCGAAGGTACGTAGATATAAATGTAGTTAGTATACCAAATGACAAAATTAGTAAATACAACACACAGTTACGTACTTTATGGACAAAACACAACAAGAATATATGAATTAAATGACTGAATACAGAAGTAAAGTGATTGTTGGATAGATCCTTGAATAGATTCAGCAGTAACTGAATTATCAGGTCAAACAAAACCAATTCTATCCATGTGACCGTAAGTTCTATTTACAAAATGGAAAAGAAGTCATAATAAGTGTTGAATTTCGGGAATGTGCCGAAACTCCTCATTCAGTGTACTATCAATTTTACCTGTCATGCCAATGGGCAACAGCTTCCAGCGTGCCCCGTTCAAATTTGACGCCTATCTCTTGCTTATATTCTACATATCTATCAAGTAAACATGCAATTCCTGATCGGGCAGTGATCTGTTTGGTTTTCTTTCGCATGGTGATATCAACTGTCACAGATCACTTCAAAGAAAAATACAAAACGACAAAAAGTGATGCAAATGGAACCTGCTTACATTTATGTGGTTCTAGGCTTTGAATTTGATTTCGCTACGATTCTAAACAGTCTCCACAATGCACAAGTCAAATCACCGTCAATTAACATATTTGATGAAAATCAGTACAACGACACTGTTGGCTCGCTCATACAGAACACGTGGATTGAAACTGTCTCCTTATGGGCGCAGAGAGAAGACCGATTATTTCTATCTGGCATGACTCCAGCCTTAAGTCTTCCTCCGAATCTTCGCAACTATATTGCTCTGTGGAAGCTGTGACACTTTCCTTTGCAAACAACTAAACCGACCTTTTCTTTGCTGAATGAAAAGAAAATTTCAAAACCACTTTGAACTTGAGGGATCAAAACATAATGTGAATAATGAGCACATGTAATGACAAACCTAATGCTAACATTACATACTAATATTATGTGTTTAATTTCAAAGGTTCATATGCACGAATAACACAGTGCATCTGAATAAACTATACTCCTCGGCCTATCAATATAGGTAAAACATGAAAAAGGTAAAAAAGATATACTTTGGGCATAAATAATAGTGACAAACATTAAGCACATTATACCAATATATTACATGTTTAAGCATAATGGTACTTTATAGAAGTCCCTGACTTGTAAACATACTTGCAATTGCTACAGAAACTAAAAGATCTTTGTTAAAGAGCTAACAAAAACTATGAAAATAATACAGCTCTACCTTGTCAGATACCCCTAACCATTAGTAATCCGCGAGATGTTGTTTATTTACTTCCAAACAATGCCAGAGGTTATTTCAGGTGAAACAAGTCATGATAAAAAAACAAATCAAACCAAAATAAAAACCCTCAACAACCAACGGCCTTTAGATTTTACAATAAAGACTTTTAAAAAGATGTATCAAAGGAAATTATGCCACCAAACACTTGATGCAAGAGAGTAAGCTTTCAAAAAGACAACATCTTGTTGTAGAAAACAATTTGTACAAGCAACGAATCTACAAACTAAACAATTCTGAAAACAACTTCACAAGAATACAAGTTTCACCAACAGAAAATTTAAAGACCTCAAATGTAAGGACGCCATGCTTCGTTTATGTGTCCACTTTCCAATGAGAGCTTGATAGAGTGCATCTCAACTCACTGCTATAGGAAAGCACCTTTGTAAACAATAAGGTGAAGTCATCATGTTGCAAAGTACTGACGTGTGATGCCATTTAGAACCAGAAAGTGCAGTGTAAAGTTTGGAGTTCGTGCTCATGTTGATTCATGAGCTGGTTCTTACCCTAATGCCTTGTACATGCATACATGATTGTGCACATGACATGCTCACTTTATGGTGCTCTAGAGGTCTATTCAAAGCTCTGAATTTAATAACAGAACACTCTACCAGCTCAACTCAAGTCAGCCTCCATATTTGACGCCTTTGTTCTGGGGATTATAATGCGCTAAACAAGATCCATGACATTGTTAGATTACTAAGCAGCTTTGAGATTCAACGAATCTCAATTGTTACAGTGAATGATAGCAAGAGGCAGTACAAACCTCCCAACCTGAGGGTTTGGGATAATGTTGAAATTACAGGATTCAGTATTGTTACCATTAATGAAATTTATGTCTATTTCCAAACATACTCTTTGCGTTAAAGAGATAATAATTTTTAATTAGGGATTTTACCTTTACTGATGAATATTCATGACACCGTATTTCTACGTTGTCAGAGAAAGCCTGTGAATTTTTAGCAAGCTCTCAGACAATGATGAGTGTACAGGGATATGAATATGCATCGATGCACGGGCAAAAGTCCTGGCTCAATTTTTGTATCTTACTGGGAATTACCGTGCAGGCTTGACAATCTTGGGATGGAAATCTCTGTCTAGTAATCTAGGACTCTCCAGCATGACTTTCAGCAGCAGGTTGTCAGTGTAGTCTTCAAGTTCTCTTATATACTGTTGCCGCTCACGAAGAAGTCTCTCTTTGAGCAAGAGTCGACGAATCAGACCCTGAGCAGGAAATAAACAGAGAGAATTGTTGTTGATGTTGTTGCTGTTGATATTGTTGTTGATGATAATGCTGTTGTTGTTGTTGATGATGACAACGGCATGGTTGAAGTGTGGCTACCACATCATGTACCAGGTCGAAAATGTAAGGTAAGTGTTTTGCAGTGACACCATGTATATGTAGCTTGAAAGATCTCTTTTGTGAGCAGGTGTGGCTCCGAAAGGAGACATTTGTGCCCGATGTGGCTCCAAGGGGCCACAAGTACTCACAAAAGAGATATTTCAAGCTAGGTGACGTCACCGCAAATGACCTGCAAACCTTCAGATCTTATTAGGACGAAAATGAAAGCAATGATCTTGCTGTCATACCCCCAAGCCCTACAGCTCAGAATCCTGGTAAGCGGTGACGTGATCTTGGCCAAGTCATCACTTCAACCTCACAGGTCTCACTCCACCCAGGAGTAAATGGGTACCTGTGAGGGCAGACACAGTTATTGTGTTAATCTTGTTGAGTCTGATATGCCAGCATCAAGCTAGTATACTCTCCAGGGAGCTGAGATGCTTCAGGATTATTCAGATGACATTAGCCCAACAAGCAGGGATAGTAATAATACATCAGAACCTGTGAATAGCATACTGTAGATAGTAACTGCGTGCACCTTGTGTTCTGATCGTTATTAACGATGCTTGTCTCAAGGGTCTTTGCCTCACAACAAGCAATGAAATTCCTCAGTACCCATTTCACTACCTCTTTGGTCATATTGACATACTGCGCTGGTAATTCCTCGTGTTCCTCCCGATTGACACTGGTTCCATATCCACTCTCCTTGGTGGGGTCAAAGGTCACACTCACATTGCTCTTCCGTAGAGACGGCAGACCACTGCGAAATGAATGCCTCAGCTTACCTTCAAAACAAGGAAAACAATTTGGTTTCCTTCTTTGGCATCTTGTTTGATGAGGGATGTACGAGTGCTTTATGTTACACATCGTTCATGGCAATCTTAAACCTTTGCTCTTCAACAGTGAAAGACGAATGAGCGTGCAGAGATCATGTCAGGGTTGAGGGGAAATGCAAGGGAAATCAAGCAAATTAATCCACTGGAGAGCAAACGAGAACTGTTAAAATCACTCTATTTGAAGTCATTGGTGATAAACTCCTGTATTCTCCTACTCCAAGGAGGAGTGTGACTGACACTTTGATAAATCTGTTCAACTGGTCAAAATGATGTCAAAAGTCAGTCTTGATGAGTTACTATATTCTGCAACTCTGTGGAGAATGACTCTCAAATTTGTTCAGCTGGCCAAAACAACACTAAAAGAACGAAGATTGGCTTACTGTCTCTTGAAGATTGATCTGACGACCTTTCATCATTCTGCTCCTGGGTTCCTCCGCCTCCAGGATTCTTGCCAGCCCCACCCCTTTGTCTTGGCTGATACTGGCCCCTGGAGGAGTACAAGACTTCCAGTGGGATGTACTCCTCTGAGATGGACCTCAGTGGGTACGACAGGGGTCGTGCAGCTTTTGGAACACGGGTGTAAAGTTCCGAGGTCGAGGCCGCGTGATTCGGTTGGCTGTCACTTGGCAAGTATCGTTCTGGTAATGATGACGGTGGGAGTATCTCATGGAGTGCCTCAGGGGATGGAGAAGGTAGATTCGATTCACTGCTGTATGGACTCTGTGATGGAGCCTTACTGTGGGCCTGGAAAGTTATGAAACAAAAAACCCCTGACATGAGCGATCTTGGTTTCAAAAACATCAGGTACATGTTTCAGACATAAGTTTTCCCTTATAGCTCAAAACTTGTGGTAGTTTTTTAATTGAATGTTAGATAAGGTGGAAGCTTAAAAACGGAAATGAAAATGCTCCTATTTGCTAGATTTCAAGAGCCAATCCCAACATTGCATTCAATAAGCTCTTCCTGGGGCCTATGCTCTGATGATAGTCACTCTGATCCTTATGCAGAAAGCGATACATCACTGATTTTGAATAAATTCAATGTGGTGATACGAGAGATTGTCTGGACGAAGGATGTAAAACAAATGGTCTTTACAAGCTTGTTGGTTTGACAGCATCCAGATGCCGAAGAGATGAGAAAATGATTCCAGTTAGCCAAGCTATCAGCATCTACACTAAATCCAAGACAAGAAGTGAATACCTTTTCTCTTTTCAACGAGCCGATGGCACTTTTCATTCGCTTCCGTAACCCTCCCTTTTTTTCCTTTGAATGCGATCCATCGCTGCCCATGGACTCCTCAGAACCAAAGTTTCCCTGTGCATTGTGGGATAGCCTTCTCTCTGATGCTGGGCTCTCGGAAGCAATGGAATCAGAGGCCTGCAATAGATACATGTATAGGCAACAAAACAAGAGATAGCCCTTGAAAAATAACATGACAGAACCTCAGACTGGACATGACAAAACTTTAAAAACTGCTTCCAAACTCAGTTTTTAGGTTATGCAAACCTAGCCCTTTTACCAATTTCCTCAAACAACTTAATGCAAATCAAGTATTCTGCATCTACAATGTACACAGCCTGTCATCAAAGAGAACTATTTGGCAACTCACCCTTCCACTGTCATTGGAGTCAGACTTTTCCCGTCCAGTGATCTCTGGTAGTGTACATGTACTGTCATCCTTGCTCACCGCTGTGTAGCTTTTCAAACGAGGGACTTTCAGCTTGCTCTTTAATCCTGCATGATATCACGCAACAGAGACTCAATACAGCTGAGATACAGCTGAGATACAGCTGAGATACAGCTGAGATACAGCTGAGATACAGCTGAGATACAGCTCTGTAGTAGAGTTATTTCAACAGAACAACTTCAAAACGCAAACCATTTTGATCTTGTAGAGGTATGTAAGGAACTCTGACGTTTCTAAATTCTGAAAGGTTGAGGATTCAGGACTGTTAGCATTAAAACCCCAATTATAAATTCATTGCGACAAATGTAGCAAGGTGGAATACAAACAGAGATATCTAACCTATAGCTACCAACCACATCACACTTGACTCACCTGGTGGCTTGGCACGCAGAGATGATGACCTCTTGGCTTTGCTTGTGCTGTCTTGACCTCTGACCTCTGACCCATCACAGTCCACCCCTATAGCCAGTGGCTCTGCACTGTCTTCCATGATCTCAACAGTGATTTCAATCTCTCCTCGGTCTTTACTGTCCTTCTTGGACTTGCCAGGCCTCTGTTGAAGCTTGTACCATCTGACACATACATAATTACCACATTTATGACACATGTATGGTATATCTTGTGCTAGTGTTCATAGGCAAGATGCTTTACAACAATACCTGATGGAGATGAGGGCCCTCTCCAAATGTAGACATGGAAGAAATGTCTGAATCAGGAAGTAATTTTAGTATAATTCTAGTCTATACTCTACCTTATCTCTTATCGTTGAGGAGAAAGTTGAAGATTTGCTTTAAAAGCATAATCTCTGTAATACTTTTCATAAATTTTTTGTAAGCATCCTTTGTTACGTTAATTTACCTCTTGTAATGGCCACACTGCTGAATATGCTAAATAGATTAATGACAAGAGATCAACCATCCATCAATAAGACAAAAGAAATTGGTTCAGGAGTTGTACAGGCACAAATTCAAATAATGAATGTTTACGAAGACAAATGCTATGAAGCGACAGATGGCATGTTCCGTTCCGCAAAGAATGTTCCATTCCGCAAGGAATATTCCGTTCTGCAAAGAATGTTCCATTCCGCAAGGAATGTTCCATTCCGCAAGGAATGTCAACACATGCAGCCAGGAACATGTGTGTCTCTTGGAAATGGTTGTATGCTAGTAGACAGGAGATGAGAAGTCAGAATATTATTTCCAGCAGCAGCAAGAACTTTTGGATTCTGCCTGAGCTTCAAACAAACCTATCCAAGAGATGAATCTAGCAACATTTCACTGGACATTCCTTATGGCCCTCTTTAATGGTGAAACACACTGTGTTGGGTTTGTACAGCCTTGGCAACTATAACAAAACAGCGACTCCTTGTGCAAGTTATCACAATGCCCACTGCCACTGGCGATGGAAGCGGAGAGGCGAGGGGAGGCTAGTGGCCCCCCTCAATTTGAAAACAGCTACTGTAAACAACCAGAGATATCAAAGTGTTCAACATGCACTACAGATTGTCTACCTACAGCCACTTACTTTGTTACTGCAGCGTGGGAATTTCTCAGCCTTCCTAGAGGGATCGCTACCATGCCCAAGAAGACATCTAGTAGCTTGCCTCTATGGTAGACCCACAGCTCAACACAAGCATCATCTCTGGTGATGGTGCTAAAAAATGAATATCCAGACAGGAATATTGAGAGCTAAGCTTTTGGTCCATACTTGTATCTTAGAAAAGAACTGTAAATACTGCACATGTTGTTTCAATAGTTCAGTGATTTTGTCTTGTTCGTCTTTGGAAGTGTACAACTACGTGTAAGTATTGAATTTTGAGAAAGAAAAGGATATTAAGGGGAGATCATAGTGAAGTCACGACGAGGAATCGCTGTTTGAAAGAGACTAGAACTTTCTTTGTACTTTGAAAGGCTGGTATCAAGTCTCAGCAAAGTTCCTGTCTCAATCCTGCCAAGTCACAGCAATCCTAGCTCTGGGTGGATTTAGAGGAACCTGGAGGAGTATGGGGTTACTTACAATTCACAGTCCTCGTTCCACTGAGGATTAGGCGACTTCTCTGCAACCGAGGTCATGAAACGTTCTTTATCACAGGTCATTTTAACGAATGCACTGCTCCACGTGCCGTCTGCACCTTTGGCAACCAAGTGCCGCGTCTGGTGAACTGTAACGTGAATGATAACAAGTTTACTAACATTCCACAAACCAGTCAAAAGACAAAAACCTAACCTCCGTTGTAGATCTTGGAATCAGCTAAATAAGACATGGGACTGCTGTTGAGCTGAGAGCAGTGATAAAATTGAAACAGACAGCTGCCTGTACAGCAAAAGGAATCTTTTTTAACCTAAATCACCGTGTGCTGTGTAAATCTCTTTTGGGAGGGGATGTTTACTTCACCAATGAAGAGAAGCGTATTGACTTTTCTCAAAGAGAATGCTGCTTCAATATGTAGGGTCTATTTTAACTTACCAACAACTCGGCATAGTTGACCATCTTCCCCCGATGTCATCCCAAATTGTTGTGTATCGGACTATTGCTGGGTACTATGGTTTCATCTGTCCTTTCATTATGACATCTTGCATTCACTTAATATGGGGCTGTAGGCTGTCCAGTGAAATATTCCATGAATCAAAGTTACGGAAAGTAAGGAAACTAAGGGGTCTACTTGTCCTATTTTATTTTATGAAGAATGACCTGCCTGATAGTTTCCACATGTACCTTAACTTGTACTTGCAATACTCAACAATGTTTAAGATCATTTCAAATGATCTTGTCCTTTTAGTCAATCCTCACGATAGAAGGAAAGATTTTCTATACACAGGCACTGGTCAATATTACCTGCATGGCTGCAGTGACCTAGCCATCCACAAGCAATGAAACATAATGTCCAACAAAGTCCAACTTGGCAGTGAAAACATTGAGATTTTCACTCAGAACTGAGAAAGCACTTCATGACACTCCGATTTTTCAGACCTGTCTCATAGGGAGTGTGCATAGGGTGTCAAACCAACGTCCGTATATGGAATTTTTTTTGGGGGGGGGAATTAAAATTTGATAAACTTAAACATGAAACGAGGGCTCCATCTCACGTCTCAGTCACCATGGTCATGGGCTACTCACGGTGTAAGCGATTTAGTGCTGGTGTACGTGTGTACTGGCTTATCGCCAAACGGTAAAATTAGCCTAGGCCTGTGATCATGATCCAAGTTTTTACAACAAACCTTTTTTCTTTGAACGAACTAACACCAAAGGCAAATATATCTATACAATTGCTATAGCCCCAATCATCCAAAGAAAAAAACAAAGTGAAATCCCTACCCAATGATCCTTCCCAACATACAGCAATACGAAGTGCACACATCGAAGGTGTTTTGGTGCATGTACGATATACTGAGATTGTAAACAGCGCCACCACACGATGGGTTGCAAGAATATTCTAACAAAACGCCCTCACTCTCAGGAACGCAGCGGAAATCGGAACTACATCATGTTCATGTACATGTAAAAGTGTGTGCCACAATATTGCCCTGATATTGGTTAAAAGTAGTACGTGTGCTTCATCAATCTTTTACAAGCAATAAATACATGTATATGTGTTTCTCAGAAACGCTCAACGCTAAACAGTATCCAGTTCATACGTGTGATGTCACTAGCTTCAGTTTAAGCCACGCCCACTGCAAATGCACTGATCGCACAGTATTCTCGAGGGCGCCATCATGTTATTTGTCACTACAACTGCACATTCGTACGTCCCCGGCGTTCGATTCGCGACCCACGAACAACTGCAAATCGAGCTGTTCACGAACACGCGAGAAAAAACTTGTTAACAGAAGTAGAAATTCCCAACTAGTTTGTAAAAATGGCCACAATGTGGCCGAAATAAGATTTAAGCCAAGTTTATGGGGGGACAAGTGGAGTGAACTGAATAATGAAATGTAGGCCTACGTTGCTCATTCGAGAAATAGTAGGGTCTATGACTCCTACTAACCAAACCTACGCCTAAATTTGAACCAAGGCTAAACCAGCAATAATGGGAGACTTTGAGACGCATGACCAGTGGTGGCAGACACTGAACCCGGTGCATTTTCGCAGTTGTGCCACTGATATCTGCACGTGCTCTGAACTAACGCGCATGCATAGAACTGCATCCGCATGCCCACGACCAAAAAGGACCGTTGTGTCTGCCGCCATCAAGCGTCTCAAAGTCTCACATTGACGTGATAATTATTGTTAATCAACCAACCAGAGTGTAAAACTCAAAAACAGTATTCCAATCCAAACTTTTACAACTTGAACTGTATTTGGAAGTATAGTGTTTTTCGAAGGCAAATCACTCCAACAGATCCATTAAGCTAAGATTACTAGCTCTCGTCCTACAGCTGTGATACTAGAAGAACAAGGTATAAAAAGTATTGTGCCAAAGAGGCACGAAGAGTTATTACACTGTTTTACCAATACTGCGATGGATACTTTTTCGTTTAATTGTGATACCACACAGCCTCTTAATAGAATACTTAATAGAAGGCAAGTCCTAGCTGCGTTCACCACCCCAAACTGTTCATTGTGATCAGTGTATACTGCGCGTACGATTAAAGATCAATCACATTGATAATTCACAACTTCAATTTTATGAAATTTAGTTATATTTAAAAGAATCTAGTTTTTAAACTAAAAAAGATTGCTACTGACGCCAAAAGCACGAGATGAAGTCTTCCTTCATATCAGGCAAACTGAAAACGACAGTCGTAGGGAACATCCAATAAAACCTGTTTTGATAAAAGTCACAATGCGGCTTTGCAATTACACGACTGTTTCATTATTCGAGGCGAACGCCTCAATGTGCCATGTATGCACATGTGCACATAGATCAGCATTTATTAGTGCAAGGGTCTATGTCACACTGCATGTTTCAGCCACGTGCATCCTACGCGCGTGCACGCTTGTCACAGTTTTATACGCGCGTACTGGACACCAATCACAGCTCCAATTGGTCAGAAAAAAATGGGGCGGGGCTTTATGGATCGGTCTATTGTGATGACTGTTCTGGGATGGAAATGGCGCCATCCATTAGAGCTGGTTGTCAGAATTAATTCCTGGTTCCATTCGCTTCAATAGAGGAAAGAGAAGACACTGAAGAGCACCCAAGAAGGAAATTCCCGAGAATATGTAAAATACCGCTGGGTAGCTAGCCGTCAAATCCAGAACCAAACCTATGGACAACAGCAAAACCTGTGTTTAAAAACCTACTACAACTGCCCCCAGTCTGAGAGTCGTTTATAGTTCGATAGTCGATGAGTATATATTATCGAAACTCTTGTTTGTATCGTCTTTTCATCGGTTCTGAGCACATTTCTTTTGCACGATACGAATTGAAAGCACTTAACAATTTCTGATGGGAGTTTATTGACTCTTCCCAAAATCGAATTCCCTTTAATGTAATTCGGCAACCAGAAATAAAAACTATAAACCACGGTTGCACAACGCTCGTGGACAGGTTGTACGCGCGCGTTATATGCATCTTTGACCGATTAAGGTGCGCGATTTCCCAAATGCACGTGCACGTCAAGCTGAAGTATGTGCATGAGTGTGGCGCCACCGCAGTTATGGAGTCTAATTTGGTAGTCTATATCTAAATTGACTTTCCAAGCTATGAAAGACATTTCCTGCCTGACAATGTCGAATACCTGAAATGATGGGTGCGACGAAAAGTCCAGTTCCTCCAACGAATGTTATCCAGCCACAGCTCACAGCGAAGTTTGCAAGACCCACAAAATGGCGCATGAGAAACAGTGTAATACTTAGCGTTGCGCCCGTGGTAAAACCTTGGAGGAATGACGACACAGCCAGAAGCACATAAACATCTGTAACACCCATGATGATTAACGAAACGCCACACAGTGCCATCATTACACCGAGCACGCCCTCAACGGGAACTTTCTTCCAGCTGATCAGCATCCCATGGCTTAGTCTTCCCAGCAGGACACCAATTCCGACAAAAGTCAATAAGAAAGTGGCGCTAGAAGGTGTGACGTCAACAGCCTGGACACGAGGGATAAGGAACGTGACAAAAGTTATATACGGTGCTTGGTTATGGAGGAAAACTATGCACAGTAAGAGAGCTCGATAGCTTTTGGCAAAGGTATGGAGCCCCAATTCAGTCGATATTCGCCTCAGAAGAACTTTGACGAAAAAACACTTGGATGAATCGCTGCTCGTGCTGCTTTTGTCCTCTACCGTTAAACTGAAATCATATTGCAGAACTTTGCCTGACGTCGGTAGATCATCTGAAACTATATCAGGTGTTTCTCTCGTACCGATTTTAACCTCGTCCCCAGTGGAAGTGTTGTTATTGTCAATCGCAACGCCGTCTTCGTTCGGTGAATCACTTTCTGTCGAGTCGGACATCAACTTAGCAGCCTTGTGGACTTTACGTGGCCTAATCAGCGCGCAGCAAACACAGAGATTTGCTGTTACGGCAGAAGCAATCAACATGGTTCCCCGCCAACCGTAACTCTCCAAGAGGAGTTGAAGTAGAGGTGGTGAAACCATGAGCCCCGTTCCAACCCCAGACGTTGCCACTGAATTTGCAGTCTTGAATTTCTTTTTGAAGTACAGGGCAACTGAAAACAAAGCCGCGTTAAAAGCGATCCCAAGACCGACTCCTGCAAAAGAAAAATTAGTTGCCCGAGAAATAATGGAAGTATTGGTGCCAATGGCTTTTCTGCGGGGTGTAAATATAGTGGCGTGTGAACAAAATGACAAACTTACTGCGCAGAAAGAACAAGTATAAAGATATCCAAATCTCCAAGAACATCTGAGATTTTGTTTCCTGAAACAATGGACGAACGGGGGTGTACATTTGCCCCCCCCCTAGTGACATACTTCGTTTTTCATGTCTATGCTGCTTTCATGATTAAACAATGGAAAGTTCCCGCCTATTATTGATAACAAAAATGTGCATCAGTGGTATAGGTTTCACTTTTATTTTGATGATCTTTTGGTGAAAGGATCCATCAGATTGTATGAAGAGCAATAAACACGCTTTGTTTTAGCGACGTCATTGTTCCACCCGATGACTTCGCGAAATAATTACCTGCTATTGCGACGGTGATGTACAGCTGACTTATGGTGGTAACCCAACAGCTACTGAAGAGCCCTAGCGAGGCCAAACTGCCGCCCAAAATGCCCGAAACTCGGCAGCTGAAACGATTTGTCAGCATTCCTCCAAAGATACCTCCAGGGGAAAAAAGGCAAGGAATCTGATGTAAAGTGTATACAGCAATATTTAAAAGGAACAAATACAAAGTGTCGGTTTTCAGGCATGTTAACTGCAGAATTTCACGTCTGATCAGTTGGGAAAGTTAAAACATACCTTGGTATTAAATAAATGAAATATTGCCATGGAATTTTTCGTCTCCAAACTAAGGCTTGGCTATTCCGGATTATCTGAGTTCATTTTGGTAACTCTGATTAATAACTGGCTGTTTAATTATTGTCAACCAATACACTTGTTTTCTTGTGTTGTCCGAATGCACTATTTCAGTGTTGAGAAACCTGCTTTAAACTTTCCAGCATTAGTGTTTGGTGCGTCTGAGAGATCTCTCCTCAAATTGGTTTGAATCTTCTGATCTAGACCATTTAAAGTCAATTCTTAAAACCTGTGTCAATGTCTTATACCACTAAACCCGTGGAGCGAGGACAGAATACTCTGGACAGCAGCCGTTTCCTTAGCGCTTGTGTCGAACGAATTCTGCCAGCTAATATACAAGATTCCACTACAACGAAGGAAGCCCACAGAGAGCGCCATATTGATATGAGCCGCGAGGGCGACTACGATACCCCATCCACCTTCTCGGTCGGTAGAGGGCTCTCTTGCGTCTGCAACAGTGGAAATTGACCGGGCCATGTTTTCAGATCTGTATTGGATGAAGAAAGAGGGATTCCAACTGCTTGATACAGACAAAATTGCTCAGCGAAGACACTGTGTGATCTCAGGAGCAAAGGTACTAAGTTGTGTTGAAATGTTACAATAATGATCACGATGACCACGACACCAGTACCCGAAATTTCCAAGTATACCAAATCCAAAGTATGCAGAAAGACAGCAAAATATTTCCCATAGAATGAATTGTCTTTCAAAAAGCCAAGGTTTTTCGGGGACAAAATATTATTGGCAGGTATGTTTATGTCCCAAAAGTGAAAATAAAACATGAATTAGCAGCTGCTTTCCTGGCATGAATTCTCATGGCCTCTAATTGCGTATGCAAATGGCCCCATGGGACATGCGCAGTTATTGATTTCTCTCTGAAACATTTGTGACATACCGCTGGCCCCATCCAGCTATAACCAGTCACCGCGGCGGCCCTGGACATGTCCCACCACGGCCTGATGAGTGAAGTCAAGTTGTCCGATGCCAAATACACCCGTACCGTACCCACTCCGTCTGACTGGAACTTTCAATGGTCCTGCCAAACCACAGTTTAGTTCAATGTACAAAGGAACTTCGCCTTTGTAACTTATCGTCAAATATATCCAGCAAGAAATTAGACCGAGGGGTACTCCCCAACATGTCCTATCGCTACACACGCTATAGACTATTGTTACCTAACCCTTCCCCTCAGATTCCAGTGAAACAATGACCAACACAAAGTGTGTGTGTGGGTGAGTTTGTTTTTGCATTCAATTGGGGAACCTGAACAATAGAGGACAATAAGGTCCTCGATTGACAGAGGGTCCCCGATTGATAACTGTGTACAAAACCTATGGGTGGTCTTCTGAAAAAGTTAGAGTACAAACAAAAGAGGAACAATAGGGGGTCCCCAGTTGCAGGCAAATACACACTTCTGGGGGGGGGGTATCTCTGTCCATATCTTGCTTCACATGGCCTCACATGTGATGCACCGTTATGTTCAGCTACACCTTCGAAACCACTTATGACTCAGATGAAGCAATAGCAAAGACAAGTGTGGTCAATAAACCAGCTATGCAGTTGGACTGTCACCCAAACCCCAAATATCCCGCTTATCTTCATTTGCTGACCCCGAATATCACCTGCTACATAGGAACAATAGAATTCCACGCTAACGTGATAGCGATATTTAGGGAACGCAACAGTAGTTTGAAGAATGCTTTACAGGTTAAGATACATGACCAGAAACATGTTTAATGTTACTCTATACATGGAGGAAGGAACACATTGTTCGGCACACAAATCTTCAGTTAAAGTCCGTAAATGCACACTTGTCTGAAGTTATTAATTGAGTTAACAGTTTGACTCTGAGTTTAATAGATTTCTGGTCCATGAATCGTAATCCTAATGCATTAAAAAAACTTCTGATGACAACTGTCAGGACGATTGGATGTTTTCGATACAATGAACGCCGATAACAATGAGGCGATATAATGACGTCGACGATTGTGTCATCGAGGAATGATTGGAGAAAATGAGACATTTATGGTGTAAAATAACTTACATTTAACGTCAAAATGCTTCCCCTGCATTCGCAATTGTCACAGGCTGTAGACTTGACAAAAACAGTATTAAATGTGAGATTTAAATGTTGACGTGGTGTTATATAATTTTGCAATAAACACAGATAAGAGTGCTCAAAGGTCGGCCAGTGCGGGCAACAGTCTTTATCTCACCTGACGAACTTATTCACTGTAAAAACCTACGTACGTTTTACATGCGGCAGGCTTGCAGTTTGAAAGAGCTCATCATGATCCAGAAACAATTTCTGTGTTTTGGAGTCAGGACTCGGGGAAACTTGTTTTACTCGGAGGATGGAAAATCATTTATATTTAGGTGCAATTCCTGATATAAAAGTGAACATTAATTTCACTGCACACACATCATGATCCAGAAACAATTTCTGTGTTTTGGAGTCAGGACTCGGGGAAACTTGTTTTACTCGGAGGATGGAAAATCATTTATATTTAGGTGCAATTCCTGATATAAAAGTGACCATTAATGTCACTGCACACACGGTGTTTCTGTCTGATTAATTCAACACTGGAATGGAAATTCCAATGTTCAAAATTTGGATGGTATTAAGTTGAAGTGCGCATACGGAAAATTATTCAAAATCCAATCAAACTTTTATGCTTATTTGATAGCGTCATACTGAAAAATCAATTTATAAACTAAAGATCAAAAGCATCGTGGATCAACAAACACTGCACTTCGATGGTTCACGAAGGACTATGAATTACGTGTTACGATAACGTTGCTACCAATAAAATGAGAACTCTCCACCAACATGGCTCTTTTCAACTGATGAGGGAGTGTTTCTGCTGAAGGTGGATAGAATAGCAGGAACTCCTAAAAAAAAGTATTTCAATGCACAACTGAACTTCTCCGGAAAACGACTATCCCCTCATAGTAAGGTTTTAACTCACGTGTGCTTTCAGTTCCTAAAAGAGGAAAACACCTGATCTCGTGGGGTGGGGGGACTTTCCCACGCCCCTGGTACACCATTGCAATGCATACCCCTGTATTACTCGAAATCCCTACTCGGTTCACATAAAAATAGAATCCAATCCAACGCGGCACCATCTGGTCTCGACTGTACATGTAATTACCAACATGGCCCATCAGTGACCTCGCTCAAGGCAATGGCTGACAATAAACAATAAAAGAGGCCTTCATGCTTCACTGGATTCTTCGGCAGGCATTAAAACGAAGCACAGGAAATGAGAAATGTTATGGCTTCCGACACCACATGGACTGTAAAGTCCACAGGTTAGTGGATGTACAGCTGCAGCAGGTGAGTTTTTATCTGTAAGTAAACATGTCTAGGACTGTGATGTAACAGTACAGGTACACGTAGATAAATGATATATGCTACGAGACAATCCTGGGAAGTTATCGACCCTCATTAAATTCCTGCAACAAGCCTCCTTGTTAGAAGCCGTTCATCATTTAACCCATCAGATCCTAAACCTCCACATATCATCCCACTGCCTGGGCATATATATATATATAGAAGGGTTGCATGGAGCACCCTCACAGAGGACAGGTCTTTGTTCTTGTGTGATATGCTCGAGTAGACCCTTCAGTACTTTGTTGGTGGATGACTTGTCCGGCCATGAATATATGAAAAGCTGGGACAGGAGGAGATGCGGACACCATGACACTGTTTAAGGGACAGTTGTGAATGTATATTTATGTATTATATTCCCTGCAGAATCTCACATCTTACATCTGAACGGCACCTCTGAGGCTTTTGTAATTATTTCGATAGAAATATGCTCCCATCCCCGGGACTCACGCCCATGCCTACTGCCAAATAAAGAAGTGGTTTTATTTTTACCTTTCCAAAGGAAAATGTGCGTACCTTGCTTTCAGTTAGCAAGCACGTCGAGTTGCCTGTCTTACCCGCAAAATGTAACCGAGTGCAGTTGTTTCAATTTTTTTGGGTGGGATTGATACCACAGGATGTGTTCCATTTGTTTAAAGGGCAGCCCCGGCCTGGGGACGATCGCGCGTGCTGCGTCAAGTTATTGAAACGGTGGGGATAAGGTTAAACGTGTCACTCGTGGGAGCTAATCGAACGCACCCATACAGACAAGAAACATACACTCGCACACCTGTGTTCTCCCCTCCTCAACATTGCGATTGAATGCGATTACATGCTGAATCATTGTAAGACCATCGATTCTTTCTATTGGTTATTAGTATAAGTTGGCATATATAATTATGACTATTTTAATCAAAGTCAAGGAATACGGTTTGTTATGACTCCTTTTTTCCATTTCCTTTCAGGGAGAAGGGAGATGGAATTACCTATGCAGATCCGTTCCAACATATTACGGGCTTTAGCCTTTTCTTATCTGTTTTCCATGGTTACTTTGTTGGTGTACTTGATGTACTCCGCCACTGTCAATCTCCCAAGCCTTCCGGAGGGCCACTCCATTTACTGGTGGCGTGATGCTTCCTACGGCCGCTACATTTTACGACATACGTGCATTGACTCTGACGTGGTGTGTGACGAGTGTTGTTATTGTTACACCCCAGCGTCTCATATCCTTGCTGACTTTGGTGAGTTAAGCCAGGCTTCGTTGACTCAAAGACGCTGTGAAAAGAGACTCCCTCAAGCTATCATCATAGGTGAGAATCTTTAGTGTAGATGTTGGCTCTCTAGTCTGCTACCTTACTATAAAGGTATCTGTATGCTATCTGGGCACCGGGTCATAAGCCTGTTTGTTTCACGAGGATCCGGATCGCGATCAGTGCATCTGTCGTAGGTTCAGTGACACCTAAACCCGCCTAATGGATGGCACACACCAACTCTTGGATCACTGATCACGATTAAGATCCGTGCGATGGAAATCGCACGCGCATTCTTCAGCTTGACGCGCGCGCGTATTTGACAAATCATGACACCCCATTGGTTGAGCAGGCCTGTAACGCGCGCGTGCCACCTGTCCACAAGCGTTGTGCCACTGCAGTAGTGGCTTCTAGTTGTACTGTAGTTGTTGAAATTACACTAAATGAAAGTAAAAAAGCAAAATGGTCTCGTTGACAAAAGGGAAATCACTGATAGTCCCGTGTTTGGTTTTCTATAACAGGTGCAATGAAGTCAGGGACGTACGCTTTGAGAACTTACCTAAGTTATCATCCACATGTAGCCATGGCTTATGACGAACCCTGGTTCTGGAACAAACCCGAGGAGTTTGATCAAGGATTGGAGCGATACCGTAGATTGATGCACTACAGTACTCCGGGTCAGGTGACCATGGAGAAAACACCTGATTATTACCACGCTGTAGGTGTTCCAGAGAACATTGCTAAACATCTGCCTGACGCAAAGATCCTAATGATCATGAAGGATCCGGTAAAGCGAGCTATCTCCCATTACAACTTCGAAAGACTCAGGAGCGAAGACTCTGAATTCCCTGCTACGTTTGAGCAGGCTGTTTTGACGGCTGACGGGCGCATTGATGAACACTCCAAATATATTTCCTGGTCCGGTTACTCTACGTTTGTTCGACTTTGGCTGCGACACTTTCCACCACAGCAATTCCTGGCCATCGACGGCGATCCGTTTATCCGCAATCCGCTGCCTCAACTACAGCGCATCGAAAAGTTCCTAGGCATCCGGCCCTTTTTTAGCGAGGACATTTTCACCAAAAACACCACCAGTGGCTTCTGGTGTTTAACTAAGCCAATCGTTTCTTGTGTCCCGCAGAGTCGACCACACCCACCTCACCCAAAAGTAAGTGACTCTGTGCTGACGAATTTATATCAGTACTTTAGACCGCTCAATAAACAACTTGCCAACCTTCTGAAAGAACCCTCGTTTGAGTGGTGTTCTTATTAAATATAATTTGCGTGTACATTCTTGAAGGTGTACAGGTCATTGCTGTACATGTGTTCAGAGAAATCGGTTGTCGTGTTCTTTAGTCAGACCAAGTAATCCGTTTTGTTTAGGACATGACTTAACTTTGTGGCCGTGGGAGAGGTCACCAGTGACTTGATGTTAGGCGTTATAATAGGGATGAGTCTTAATCAGCGGTTTCCCCAATTCGAAATGAGCTGATTTCACATTCCAATAACTGAATAGACAGGATTCCAAAATAAATTAGACGGACACATCACTTTTAAGTTAAGCATTTTAGTAGTCGGATACACACTTAAGGGTAGATCGCTTGTTGGTTGTGCTGACATTGTTAAATTTGCTTCATTTTCTTTGATAAGAAATTTTATTGCACATTCCTGTGAACTAAGGATCCTTAAAAGTTACTTTTGATATGACACTCTGATGCATTTTAATTATTATTTTTGCAAGTTTGGTTCTTATGTTAGGCCCGTTTCAGACGTCGCCCTTCTGCCGTGTCGATCTTAAGATCGGTTGGTGTTAGTTCATGAAAACGAAAATGTCTCCATTCCCTTTAAATGCGCACAAATTGGATCAGCTCGCGCACCACTGAGTGCCAGTTCGTGGTGTACCCGACGTAGTAGAGCGTCGTACGTGTTTCTGCACCTCTTGTAGTTGTGTAATACGTGTACTTTATGGTTTTATGGGCAGTTGTTTATTTACTTATTTTAGAAGTTCTTAACCATAAACAACACTGTAGCTGGAAAAGGAATAAACAGTAAACAAAAAGAAAAAATAGTTGCAATGTCTATCAATGAGTCAATGGAATGTTTTGGTGTAGAAAAAAATTAATCTAGAAATTCTACGTAGAATTCTCGCATTTATACACCATCTATATGGCACTGAGGACTTCGTCAGTTTGGGTGTACCAGATTTTGAACTGGACGACTGAAAGAATGGCTAAAAATTTTCGTTTAAGATTAAGATCATTCATTAGTGGGGCTGGATGGTATTCTGACAGCACACGTCTAACAATTATGACGTCAATTGGGAACAGCAACACGAGCGGGAGAGGTCTAAAGCTTAATATCTTACTTTTTGTTGTATTTTCCCCACTAATTCCATTAAAGGGGTGTGTTCGATTAGCTTACACGGACAACCATGACCTAAGAATGACTTTGTGCGCTATGTCAAACAATCACGATAGCTTATCGAAATATGGAGGGGAAAATGGGGAGGACGAAGCCGACCCAATCACTTGAGGGCGCACCACTATGTCAGCCTTGCAACATGTAAACTTGAAATAACTGTTTGTTGTCTTAGGGCTGTGGAGACATGCACTGCAGTTGTTAAGTGCGTTTCATGCCAGAGCTGTTTACAGTTGTGGCCGAACGATGAATGGTTTGGACGGTCTAATCGACCATTTGGGACCAGGATCAGGGGTATGGATATCAATAGCCGATTTTTTATTACGGAGGGATCCATTCACATATATCATATATTTCCATTTACGTTGCACCATTGAGCCCAGCTTTTTGAATTATGTAATTTATTTCCTTTTATGGTATCCGTTAATGCACGGTCGATAATGCCTGTATTCAATAAAATTTCTAATGGAATTAACACAATAAGGACACCTAAACGACTATGGCATAGCGTAGATACAGTCAACATGCTATGATGCCTATGGCTGTTTTGTGTTTGAATGCTCGGCAGTGGGGAAGCAAAATCAAATAGCCGTTGTGGCATTTAATATCAGCAATTCAGTTGTGTGTACATTCTGGGAGGTGCAGAGTTTGCACTGAGTGAAATAGGCCGAAGCGGCTATTTGCTCTTCAGTTGGACGAGGTAATCTGTTTTGCTTAGGACATTATTTAGACTTGGCATTGGAGAAATTACAAGTTACTTGTTGTTGGCCTCATAAAAAAGATAAAAATATCGGCGAAGTTCCAATGAACTAGTTTCACATACCATCAATTGAAAGGAAAGTATTCTACAAATAAACCGAACAGAAAAAAAAAATAGTTTCTGAAATGTGCCTTTTGGATAACGGTATGGACGGTTGGGAATAGATCATTCATTTACCCGGGTCTTTTATCGTTGTTTACTTGAATTTCAGGAGAAATGGAAATAATTTCACATTGTAACTCAAATGTATTGTTGCTATTTTTTTACACGGCTTCTGAAAAAAGCTACTTTTATTGTTGACCATTTGTACATCACTTGCTGAGCAATGTAGTTTCTCCCTGGGGATAACGTTTCAAACTTTATATCTTTTCAGTGACTTGGATGTTCCCCGAGGCCCCAAACTTTTTTTCTGTGTGTTTCATTTCTTTTGGTAGGTCATTGCATAGATTGACACAAAAACTGGGTTTTTTTTTCTAAATCAACTATCTCCATCTTTCGTCTTGTGCAAGATCAGATAGATTGGGTTCATGTTTGTCATGTATCGATGTATTTGTTTGCGTGTGAAACAACGGTTTGTCTCACGCAAGCGGCAATATGTGGCATTAAATAACGTCTTCCTGTCAGACAGCAGATGATTAATAGCGTGTGTGTCTACTGTAAACTTGCCCTTCCACACTTGCTGGGGTTTTTTCCGGGATTGTGTGTCTGAATAACTTAAGGCCTATGGGTTTTTGACATGGAATGTTATCGTAGAATCAGTACTTCTGTACCAAAGTCATGGCTGCTGGCTTTGCGCATGCCTATAACAGTGGTATCTTTGTTTTCCCCGCCCCCAGCATAGAAGTGTTCTGGCGCCGTTGGTGGTGGCTGTTATCAGGTTTGCTACTTGACTTCTGCACTGTATCTTGGTCTTTGAAGAGACTTTCAAATTCCACCACCCTTTACATTTTTATGGTATTTGCAAATGCAGAGTGTGAAGTTGTACATTACATAGTGCTCATCACTAAGCCTAAATGTTAATTATCTCCCGGAACAATTAGAAACTTTGCTGATGTGTACTAGCATGACAAGTACCCGCGGACGTTGTAGTGCTTGGTTTGATCCAAACCGAGCAAATTCGAAGCTTTTGCATGCTAGATAAAAAAAAAGTTTCCAAGTGTGCTGGGGGAAACTCACAATCTGTGTTATATTGTGGGTTGCAGTTTAGACGGGCTAGGGAAGGGAACTATGACATTTGTGTATTGAAAATATATTGAATCGGCACGCTCACATTTAGAATGCTAAGAAATAACTTTATTGTATGTGAACACGAAAATGATTCTTTCTCCTGTCCATTCCTCAATAGTTAGTTATCCCATTATAGAGAGGAAGTTTGTTCATTGCTTCCCGCTTAAACTTTACGTTAGGTTCCGATTAAATCATTTTGACCTGAAGGCTGAAGAATGTGTTACATAAATCCGCAGATTTAAAGCATAAAATATTACTGTACCTTATTTGGTACCACAACATCTATCCTGAAATTATTCAAAATGTTTCCACTACAGCAATATTGGAGACTGCAACGGCGAGGACGCTGCTCACCGCTGTTTGATTGATCCGTAGGATCCATAGTGATCTCAATGTCATTATCGTCTTCAGAAAGATATCTTCAGAAATCAAAGTGTCGCCTGGTTACTTGTCAGATGCATAAGGGTAATTCCAGAAATTAGGTGTCCATTTTTTTCGTGTCCCTGTCACATCTGAAATATGATTTTGCAAGTTCAGAACACATTTTCTAATTTCGAAGAGTGATGAATTAATGCAAATACCTGCCAAACAAATAGTAATAGTTTAAAAATCTATTCCAGTGATATTTCAATGTCAAATAACACAGGTCAGATGTAACAGGGACAGAAAAAAGTTACACTTTTGGACCCCTAATTTCTGGAATTACTCATATACATTTATCTGTTAAAATACCCATCGCACCTTTTACGCGATTCTGCCTTTCAACAAGAGCTTGTTATATAGTATCCGTATTTACCAGGTGCCGCTTGGTTTTGCGGACATCGATGTTGAGGGAGATGAACTTTGTTTCCGGATCTGACAACAAAATATGAATATTAAGAGAGGTGCAAGCGGAATTGCTACCGTGGGAATGGCTCATGCAGGTACAATGGCAAAGTTCTTGAAATAATCAGATTGACAGATAATTTACAAAGGAGGCCTTTTCATTGAAAAAGATATATATATTTCGTTCTCATAGTCTTTTGTTTCTTCTTTTATTGCCGTTCCCCCCGCCCCCCCCCTCAGCCTCACGTCCACCGCCGTGGACTTTGGAAGACGAGATCAATGGGTATGCAAAAATAAGAAGCTCGCGTGATATATTGAGTACACGGGTTCTTAGTGTAATTCAAAAACCGCATTGCAACAGAATTGCTGTCATTGCCAACAGGTTGAGAAATGCCTTGTTGTACTTCATCTCTGGGAAATATTCGGCTTTCACGAGCAAGATGAGGCACGGAGTAAAGTTCCAACTATTTTTCCTGGTCGTCCTGTGGGTTATTGCCGTTGGGTCTGTACCGCCACAAACCACAATAGGTAATTTTTAGTTGTAATGTTGTAATCCTTTTCATGCTTCGTAATCCCTTGTCAAATCGGGTTGGCTATGAAAAGTACCACGTCTTTGACAAAAATCTCTCTAATCTGGTAATTTTAACATTACATGGTTTGTAAGCTTTTCCAATGCCGCAGGTGGGAAATTTATGAACTTCCTGAAACCCGTCAACCGTTGAAATTCGAGAATCGAAGGGGGCGTTGTCGTTAACGTATATATTTATTGCTGTTCCTTTAGTTTGGTGCAGGCTGTTCAAGCGATAGATTGTACCTCATCCCTTTTTTTTATCTTTTCGGCTTTCCCCCCTATAAATTCCTTGCTGCGGCTAGAGTACTTGGCCACATAAATATTCGACCCATACGAAGTTTTGATTCATCTTTTTCATATTTGAAAACGTGTACCAACCTAAATTAAAAGCGCCCCCTATTCGTCTGGACTGTGGTGCTGAGGATGACTTCATATCCGAGGAATCCTCTGATGAAATAAAGCCTTTCCACTCTGGAAGTGAACAGAAGTCGTAATTAAGAAAAACTCTGGAATTTCCTTTGCGAATTAATGAAAAGCCTATTCCACTAGTCTGTATGACGGCAAATCCAGGTCAATTCAGCAGTTGTAGGAAACGCAAATAAGTTTGTGTAAAACACAAACATTGTGCTGTTAACTATCTTAGGTCAAGGTCGCCTCTGAGAAATTTTAAGCAATTTGAAATTCCCGAGGTGTCTTTTTAGGATAACTGATCATAAGTGAAAAGCCTATGAGATTGTGGAATCTCTAGCAAGTAAGAAAGCCAGCCCAGTCACCAACTGCTCAACGGAAGTAGGTCAGGTACGACTAGAAGCAACTGAAGATTGGCACTGTAGCAACAGAGGTGTCGCTGTCAACGTGTGAGAAAAGAAGAAAGAAGCCCTGCTTCAAAAGCGCGCCATCCATGCCCCACTGAAATTTGTTTCTAAGTACATAGTTAATGGAATATTCAGCTATCTGTTGAAGGGAAAATCGAGTTATGGCCATTGTGACGCCAAGTGCGTTTGTGAAGAAGCAAGAGAAACACTGACTATCCACAACCGTTCGATTACAATAAGTGGATGGAGTTGGGAAGATCAGTTAACTTGAACCAGACTTTGGAATTAAAATGGCTGAATGGTTGAAAACCTGCAGAGTAAAGTCCCTATCTTTACTCGGTTCCGAATCTGAAAAATGATCAGAAGAGAAAAGTTTCCATCTAACAAACAACAAAACAGGAATGATCTCCAGCGACTCTGCTAGGAAGTGCCCTAAGACATCTCATTTGGTCTGCCTGAAGCTGTTGGCAAGCAGAATGCTTGAACCGCTTGATTGAACTTAAAATACCGAAGGACGCATACAACCTAATATTTGGTCTGGTGTGCTTCAGGAAAGACTGCATCACGACAAAACATCTCCAGGCCCGTTGCCTGACCAGAGACAGGGGGGGGGGTTCGTCAAACCAAAAGGTGGAACTTCTGGCACTATGAACACAAATTTTTATACAAAGCCCTATTGCTATGTGCTTTGGGAAATTACATTGAAAAGTTGCATGTCTGGTGCGAACCAAAGGTTGCATGTAACACTTGTACACAGTAGTTTTCAATATTGAATAAACTGAACAAAAATACATTGATTTCAAACCCTTTGAAACACCTGAAATGTGGATATTTGCCGGAACTTCCTGACGGTACATATGACTAGAGATTGATTAATTAATATGC